AGGAAAGATTGCAGGAGTTAAGAATAACTGCAGCATACATCATGCAGGTATACTTGTGTTTCACAATTCTGCTGAATTTCAGGGAGAAAAGTAACAATCATGACTAGTAGACTTAAGTTATCACAAAACATTGTTGTATATTTTCAACAGCCTTTTGAAAACAGAAATCTTGCCTATGCTTTGATATATATGCCACAGAAATAAATACCATATATATATATATAAATATATATATATACACAAACACACACAGACACAAGCACAGCTTTAGGACTGATGGAAAACAGCCATTAGCTTAAAATTGCATAGAGATTAAATTTTTATTCCACATCTTTCCTGTGCCTCATATGGACCAATAATATGCCTAAATAATCAGTTGGGGCAATTTGAAAGTGGTACACCTCTCAGTCTCACACAGCCAGCGAGTAGCAATAAAAATAATCCACAAACCAGAAATTATGCAAGCTCAACCTTGGCACTAGGCAGATGTAGAAGGCAGCTGTACAAAGGACTTGGATTGCACAGGAATTAGGCATCTGGAACCTGTATGATACCTGTTGTGGGTTCACGAGAAGGGATGGGAAGGTTTCACTTTTTGCTATGGCGATGAACGATCCCACGATAGAACAGGGATTAGGAATTATGTGATCCCTATAAAAACAGAGTCTGTATAATATGTAATTTGGCATATCTTGTATGATAGACAGTACTTCACTAATTTACACTGACATTTTATGAATGCAGTGCAACAACCACATAAGTGGTTAAATAGATTAAGAAGTCAATACTGCACTGAATTTGAAAGCAACATTTTGACATTCTTATAACCAATTTACTATTGAAGACTACTGAAAACAAAGTACAACTGTTTCTTGGGTACACTTAAAAATTTTGTTTCCACTATTTGTGGAAGTATATTTTTAACCTCTAAAATGAGGAAATGGAGATTTTTCTTGGCAGACCATGTCATTCACCACTATTCCAGCAGCATGAATTGTCACTGCAGCCTCCATTGCTCCATGAACTACAAATAGCTCACAGTGCATTAAAGAAGGAACAAATAATGCAATTGGCTGCTTTGCAGCAGTAATTGACTGTTTCTCCCCAAACGCTGGCTACTTTTTTTTGGAAAGCATGTTCGTTAGAGGAAGTGCCAGCCATAAGAACTTCAGGGGTCCTGTTTATCCCAGCTGGCCACATGTTTCAGTGGGTTTGATTCTGCACAGCAGTAAAAGCGTGCAGGACTGAGGCCATCTGAATTTTGGTTATAGTACCATCCATTAGCAAGCATAAAGAAAGAAAACCCCAAAACCCCACAATCCGGGTCATGACAACCACCTGTGAGATCTGACCGTACTGAAGAGGAGCGTGTGGATGTCCTGCCATTGACATTAGCGAGAGGAAGACCACGCCAGAACCTTGTAGTTGTGAAAGTCCTTTGCAATTAGTTGCCTTCATCAAGCACCTACCAGCCCACCCCGTGTCCCCAGTGCTCTGCTCTCTTGCAGCAGTGGCACTTCAGGGGTGCTGAGCTGCCACCCCCTCGCCAGGGCAGGGCTCCAGAGCAACCCTTGGCAGAAGTGAAGGGTTGCCAAAGCATCGCTATCTCTTTCCTCCCTTCCTCAACCCAGAGCAAAGCAATGCTGATTTTCGGCAATGGCATCACAGGAATTACAGCCCAATTCCTACCACCTGTTAACCAAAGCACGTAGCACAGTAGTGTGCAAGTTAACACGCCATAAGCCTTAAAATCGTTGCTAACGCTTGCTCTTTTAATTTTGTGCGTGTGTGCACGCGTATAAATACGCTAGTGTTGAAAAATGGCAAAGCATTTTTGCTCATTTCAGTATGGAATGAAATTCAGGAAAAGCAGTAGAAGGAATGAAAATAGTCTGCTTTTATCTGTCATTTGCCTTTGGTTGTTGTATTTGCTATGAGCATAATTGTGCACCTCTGAATCACATCTGGGTTTTTTCCATATGCACTCCCTGCCTCCTTTCGGCACATACGCTGCTCTGTCATACCTCAATAGGCAAGGGATGAATGACACCGTTGCCCAGCTACCAAGCTTCTTACTTCGCAGCTCCTTTCTCCAAGCAGCTCTTCTAAGGCAAAGTAGACTATGGAAGAGGAAATAGCGTACAAAACTAGCAGTACAGTCAGCTCCTTTCCTTCATACAGTCTCCTTTTCCATTTCAAAAAACAACACCCCCCCCACCACCCCAACCCTACATACAGGCACTAGCCTCTGCTTACAGAAAGCAACTATCAGAAAGAAGCAATAGTTTAAGATTTTTAAGATTAAATTACATTTCTCACCTTGACACTTGCAGAATGCTGTTTGAAATAACTCTAATTATCAGAAGATCTAGAAACTGCACAAATGTTAAAGCTCATCCAAGCATGGAATTTGCATGTTAAAAGAGTGGAAAAAAATAAGCCTTCTTCCATATCCACCTGTGGCAGTGGAAGAAATTATTTCACTTATCATTTGCCACTAAAGCAGTTTGTGTCAACATTTCTTAGTTCACTTTTGCAAGATAAGCTTAAACAATTTACTGCGAAAGAAACCTCTGCCATTAGCCTAAAGGTGTCCACTTACAAAGCTGTACCAGTTTAAATAGCTCAGCATACAATCACACCTTTAATTAAAAAGGTGCAACTTCATACATTGGCAAGACCACAGGTTCTTCCCTATATAGGCAAGCCCTAAAGACCCAAAGGTCTGTAGCACGGAGAATGCAAGGCCATTGACTCCCGTGGGACACGTGCAGGCTTTTCTTCTGGGGGCTGCTTTCGGGAATAGGGTCTATGATCTGACTTTGTAAAACCAAAGAGTGAGCTGCGACACCGTCATCAACCTGGTAAGCGGTCCATTTTTTTTTTGCGAGTCTCATATTGTATCCTTGTTCACTTTGATCCTGATAATAACAGGAGCTGGACCAGGTCCTAAGTTAACTGAATGACCAGAAATGTTTCATTTCCTATGAAAGATTATTTACGCTCTGCATGTTCTCACATATGAAAACTAACAGCAGAAAGAAAATCCGCAAGTGGGTGAAATGAGCATAAATTAGGCTTTGCTTTTGCAATTGCTGAAGGTGTTTATTCTTCCACTATAAATCTTTGGCTTGTTTTACTAAAGCTCCTAGCTGTGTGTCTCACAGACAAAGTTCTATCTGCTTTTCCTGGGGCTGTTGGTGGGGGAGAGGATCTGCCGCCTTCTTCCTGTGGTGATGTATTTGGGAGCTTACCAAAGGGGAAACAGATGGACCAAGTCTCAAAGTCGGGAGCTGAAGCAGACTGCTCTATTCTCAGGTTTTTGTTCACCTGATATCTGAAAATACAGAGAAAATTACTATAGACAGCACACCCCCCCAAAAAACCAAACAGAAGGAAAGCAAAAAAACTTTTAAAGGGCTGAGCAGTGGCAGAATGTGTTAAGGGAACAGAGCGCTCAGGGGAGGATGATGATGAATGCACTGGGTTACTAAAAGCATGAACTCACTTCAAGACACTCATACAAACATTTTTCCTTCTACTTTCTTGCCTTTATTCTTGTACAGACTCTGCTTTACCACTTACTGCATATATTATGACCTGGTGAAAACTTCAAGACCTACACATTGACGCGTTTTGAAGGAATCGCTGATGTCTGCTCTCCATACACCATTGGTCCCTGAGTTGTTATTATTTATATAATAGTCATGTTAAGAAACATTCACATTCCGGAGAACCAGTCTTGCAAAGAAACATATGCAGGCAAGCTTGATTGCAACAGAACACTGCATAGACACACCTATAGGTATAACATTTATAGGACTTACTTAAGCCTTCCCTAAATAAGAAATGACACAGTATGGATAGAATTATGCATTATATGGTCAAGAGAGTGTTACCATTAGCTTTCTTCTTACTATGTATTTTATTTGCTTAGTTTGGCCAGGAAATAATCACCACAAAAAAGTGAAGCTGAACAGGTATATATTGAGAAATGACCAGAAGAAAGGGGGCTGTATGAGGGGGTGTGCATATATGTATGTACATATATATATGTATGCATGTATGAGGAGGTGTATATATATATGAGGGGGTATATATATATGTGTATGTGTGTGGAGGAAAAGAACGAAACTGCTGGAGGTGAAAATTGGAACAGTAAGTTATAATCCGAGCATGGCAGCCAGGTGACCAGACCAGGGCAGATATGGACACGGTCTTGAAGGTAAAGACAAGATTTTAATTTGTGACACGAAAAATGTGCTTTGGAAGACAATACTCAACACATTTTAAAGAGCATGCTTTTACACCCTAACATGTAAAGATTGGACAAGTTTTTCTCGGTGCCAGCTGACCAAGATGAATCCTAGGGCATGAGTAAGATTGGGCATGGGGAAAATGAAAGTAAAACTATTTTAAGCCACCTAGAAAGTATTTTCCACGCATTTAAGTAACTTAAATGACAACCTGCAGTCAGCACAACTATCAGCCTGTAATTTTGGTCAGCCTTAAAGCTATTGCTCTGTCATGTCAGCTCCTCCTGCGGAGCACGCGGGAGCCCTCGGACGCCTCCGGCCTGCCTCTTGTCAGGAAACCGTGAGGCGAGAAGAGACCCCCGGGGGCCATTTTGTCAAACGGGCGGAATTCGAAGGGTGGTGCACCTGCCCTCGTCCTCACCGACTGACTGAAGTCAGGACTGGCCCCTGCTAGAAAGGCTGTACCGGCTGCCGTTGGGGTCAGCGGTATGACGCGCTCCCTTCCCTATGACGCGATGGAGCAGAGCGGTTTTCTACCGAAGCGCTCCGCCACCCTCGACTCGCACCCGAAAGCCGCTTCAGCCATTCGAACGGCCAGGCTACTCCTTTTTTTATTCTTTTTACTCCGAAAAGAGCAGTCACTAGCGACGGCGGGCCAGCCCTGAGGTACCGACACCCTCCTCACACAGCGACGCGTTACCGGACGCTCCGGGCAG